TCCATGTGAGTCAGATGATTTCCACGGATAAATGAGGTCTCATTTTGTAATGGCATGTCCACCCATGAGTTGGCCCTCAGAGGCTGGGAGTTAACCACAGCTCCTATAATTTCTGTACTTTGAAGAAAACTAGGAGTGAAGACCACAGCCTTTTAAGGTTAGGCTTCTGCTTATTCGTTTTCACTAAGGAGCAATGGCATAGTAATCATTTAATAATAATTTACATGTGTTCGGTGTTTTTGAGCCCTTTCTGGAAGATCATCTCGCTTGAGCTTCCCTTCAGTCTGCAAGTGCAGTTATTATAAATGATGAATCAAAGCTGGAAGAACCCCAGTAGAGGTCCTGTAGCCAAATAGGGATTTGAACCCAGGACTCCACTGCTTGCTTCATCACATTGCATATTGCATCTAATCCCATTTATTCAATTTGTGCTGATTTTACAAACTTCTTAAGTTCATTGGGGAAGAGCTTTGAGACCCAGGGTGTCTTACAGAATATCAACAGAAAGAATAAAATACCTATAAAGGAATATAGAGACTGAAGAGAAAGATACTGTTTCAGAGAAGAAGGTAAGAATTTAAGAGTTTAGTATCATTAAAATTCATAAATTCCTGGGACAGTATTTCTACTGGTTTAATGCTGTTGTCTATACCATTTTGGCTGTTTGCACACATACACACACCTTTACCCGTCTCCCTAGCGTCTTTTGCTATTGTTAGTGCAGTGATAATAGTCACCAAAAAAGCCAGCAATCCTAAAGCACAAATGACCTTGTTTCTTTGGGAAGAAGAAAAGTTACAATAAAAGTGTCTGCTTTCTGGTGTTTTGCTTGTTTGGGGGTGTGTGTGTGTTTATAATTAATCGATATTAGGTAAAGATACATTAGGTTATTATCACCCAGGTGGTTTTATAAAACCAAAGAAATAAATATTTGGAAATAATTTTAAAGACAGTTTTGGTCCACTTTTTAGTAAGAATCTGAATTATTTTATTGTGTTCTGGCCATTTAAGTTGTATACATATGGGACCCCAGAGTTGAACAGAGGCAAGTTATAGGGGCTTTTATGAATTGGAGAATTCGTAGGTAGACAAATGGATCTTTTGATCTCATATATTGCTGGGGAGGGAGGTGGGAGTATCATTGTCACACTTTTGGAGGATAGCATTAACCCCCATCCTAGTCTTTCTTGCTCTTTAAAAGCTTTAAGCCGCTGAAATTGTGGGCATAAGGAGACAGCTCTTCTGGCTTACTTTTTGGTGTAGTAGCTAAGCTCCAGCTTAAATACAGCATTAGAAAGAACATGTAGATGGTTGTGAGTCTCATAGAGGTCTCAAATAGGCACAGTTCTGAACACTTTACACTTATTAGTTCATTGAATCCTCACCACAAACCTGAGAGGTGAATACAGTTATCTCTATTTTGTAGTCTGGTTAAATGTCGTCAGCTCCTTCTAGCTGTGTGTCCTTTGGCAAGTTACTTAACCTTTCTTTACTTCATTTTCCTCATCTGTAAAATGGGGGTAATGGTAACTGTCCTTATCAGTTCCTTGTGTGGTAAGGGTTATGAAATAATTCACATAAAGCACATAGTGAATGCTTGTAGATGTTAGCTGTTGTTGTCTAACTAGTTTATGATTACATGGCAAAAAAGATTATCGTCACAAGAATCAGAAGTTTGGTTTCCAGTCCTTAACTCTCCTGTTAAGTAGCTATGTGATTATAGGTAAATTTTCCTCTTTCTGGGCCTCAGTTTTCTTATACCCATTTTTTTTTTTTTTTTTCTTATACCCATTTTTTAAAAACTTTTTACTTGAAAGTAACTTCAAATTTATAAGAGACAGAAATAAAAATAGTACAGATATGACACCAAAAGCACAGACAAGACAAAATAGACAAATTAGAGTTCATCAAAATTTAAAAGTTTAGTGCATCAGCGGACACCACCAACAGAATAAAAAGGCAACCCACAGAATGGCAGAAAGTATTTGCAAATAACATATCTGATAAGGGATTAGTATCCAGAATATATAAGGAACTTCTGCAACTCAACAAGCAAAAGAAAAGAAAATTAAAAAATAAAGGACTTGAATAGTCATCTCTCCAAAGAAGATAAATAAATGGCCAGTAAACACCTGAAAAAGTGCTTAGCATCACTAATCATTAGAGAAGTACCAGTCAAAACCACAGTGAGATACCACTTTATATCCATTAAGATGGCTGCTATTAAAAAAAAAATTACATAAATGCTGGAGAGGATGTGGAGAAATTGGAACCTTTGTGCATTGCTGATGGGAATATAAAATGATGCAGCCACTGTGGAAAAGAGTGTGCTGGTTCCTCAAAAAATTAAAGATAGAATTACCATATGACCTACAATTCCACCCAAAAGAATTGAAAGGAGGAACTCCAGAAGATATTTGTACAGCAGTGTTCATAGCAGCGTTATTCACAATAGCCTGAAGGTGGAAACAACCCAGGTGTCTATTGATGAATGAATGGATAGACAAAATGTGGTATATACATGCAATGGAGATATTCAGCCTTAAAGAGGGAGGAAATTCTGGCATATACTACAAACATGGATGAACCTTGAAGACATGCTAAATGAAATGAGCCAAGTGTAAAAGGACAAATATTCTACAATTACACTTACATGAGGTACCTAGAGTAGTCAAACTCAGAGACGAAAAATAAAATGATGGTTATATAAGGAGCTGGGGGAGGAGGGAGTTGGTGTTTAATGGGTACAGAGTTTCAGTTTGGGATGATGAAAATTTTCTAGAGATGGCGGATGTGGTGATGGTTGTACTAGAATGTGAATGTACTTAATGCCTCTGAACTGTATGCTTAAACATTGTTAATTTTGGTAAATTTTATATTTATATTTTACCACAATTTTTAAAAATATATGTTTCAACAAAATTAAAATAGTACAAAGAAACATCTGTATCCCCATTGACCCAGATTTACTTACTGTTATATTTTACCCCATTTGCTTTATCATGTGTGAGTGCATTCTTGTATACACCTAATCTAAATCCAGTTTTGTCATTTGATCTGATAGTATTTTTAATAGCATTTTCCCCCATCTAGTACAGGATACAGTCTAGAGTAGGACATTGTATTTAGTTGTCATGTCTCTTTAGCCTTCCTTTATCTTTTATAATATTGACATGTTTGAAGAGCACAGTGTATTACTCCCCACCCCTGAATTTTTTAATAGAAGCTTCCTCATTTTCTGTTTGTCTTTGCCTTGTAATTAGATTGAGGTTACACAATCTTGGCCAGAAAATGCATGGGTGATGTGTCTTCCTCAGGTTATAACATCTGGAGATTCAATGTATTTTTTTAAAATATGATTGGCTTTATTCTGTGATTTATGCATCAGACAGCATCCTATCAAACAAACAGAAGAAGGGTGTTCCCTCAATACATTTGTAACTAAATGCAGAGTAAGGGAATCTACAAATGCTATAGGAATCTCAGAGAATGGAGATAACGAGATTGGAGGGGGGGTGGGGGGGCATGATGAAGGAGACTTAGTTTACTGATTTGGTAGAAAGCACATTTCTAAAATTTTACCAGCTTTTCCTCAGTGTCAAATTCTGCGTTAGTTCAGCCAATATATATTACTGTATTCCACCAGTTTTTTTATTTACTTACTTTTTAATTAATTAATTAATTTTATTTATTTTTGGCTGCGTTGGGCCTTCGTTGCTGCGCTCGGGCTTTCTCTAGTTGCGGCGAGCAGGGGCTACTCTTTGTTGCGGTCCACAGGCTTCTCATTGTGGTGGCTTCTCTTGTTGCAGAGCACGGGCTCTAGGCGTGCGGGCTTCAGTAGTTGTGGCTCCGGGGCTCTAGAGCGCAGGCTCAGTAGTTGTGCTCGGGCTTAATTGCTCTGCGGCATGTGGGATCTTCCCGGACCAGGGCTCAAACCCGTGTCCCCTGCATTGGCAGGCGGATTCTTCACAACTATGCCACCAGGGAAGACCACCACCAGTTTTTATTAAGCTTGCTCCTATATTAAATAAATCAGGAGGAAACTACTGGTTTCTTTCTTTTTCTTTTTAATGAAATCAAGTGTATCTTTCAAATGGTGATCACTGGCCTACGTATTATTATGTAAAGTTACCCAAATAATAAAATGACGTTGAACTTTGTTGTATGAGAACAAGTCTATTCTCTTCCTGGTTTCATCAAATATTAGTCAGGCTAAGGTTTGTACTCTGGACTTTGCCACCATTCTAGAGTGTTTTAGCACCCTTACTTGAGCTGTAGAAAGCTGTTGAAAGGAAAGTGCTGTTCTTGCTAATACTGGTTTTTTTTTTTTTTGGCTGCATTGGGTCTTCGTTGCTGCACGCAGGCTTTTTCTACTTGCGGCGAGCCAGGGCTACTCTTCATTGCGGTGCACGGACTTCTCATTGCGGTGGCTTCTCTTGTTGCGGAACATGGGCTCTAGGTGCGCGGGCTTCAAAAGTTGTGGCTCGTGGGCTCTAGAGCGCAGGCTCAGTAGTTGTGGCGCACGGGTTTAGTTGCTCTGAGGCACGTGGGATCTTCCCGGACCAGGCCTCAAACCCATGTCCCCTGCATTGGCAGGCTTATTCTTAACCACTGTGCCACTAGGGAATCCCTTGCTAATACTTGTTGTAGAATGTATAAATAGTAGTAATGCTGATGGGTTTATCCACAATGCCATTCTTCCCTTTCAGGCTATCTTTTAAAGAGCATCCAAACTTTAGATGAAGAGGTAACAGGCTACTTTGTAGAATAGGATTAGGGCCAGTATACGTTTAAGTATATTTCTTGGGATTTGGGTGTTTTGTTTTAATTTTTCCCCATGTTTCAGGAAACACTGTGATTGGCACAGTTGGGATATGTTCATCGGTTAACAGGTAGGAGAGCCAGAGGTATGTTTGAGGCCATTACTCAGGATGATTTTTTTTCTTCCTATATGCTTTTTAAAAATGGTTCCTTGGCCTTTGTGTGTTTTGTTTCTGCAGTTTGAAGAAAACAGTTCTGAAACGAGGTCTTACCCCCAGCTGCCTCTCAATACAGTGATTGCCATCTCTCCAAACGTCAAGTCCAGCTTTGTCCGCCAACCTGTCTGACATGTCGGGACCCGTGCCAAGCAGGGCCAGAGTTTACACAGATGTTAATACGCACAGACCCCGAGAGTACTGGGATTACGAGTCACATGTGGTGGAATGGGGGTAATAATTTCCGTTTACTTCACTGTACTCACCCAAAGGGCTGACTCTTGTGGATTTGTTGAGTAATTTACAACAGGAAACTTCCCTGACTGTACAGTTATAAACCTCAAGATTGAACGCAATTTTTGTTTTCTTCTACAGTAAAGAAACAGGGTATTGGCTTTGGTCAATTAACAGTTCTGATGGGTTTAACATTTTAAAAACATTTCGGTCTCTTATTTTTTTCTCCAATGTGTATATTCTGTATGGTAACAAAGAGTTATCTATTAGCTTGCTCAGCTAAGGGCTTTGCAGTTAGGTGAGAATTAATGCTTGAGAGACTTTGAAAACACCAGGCTGTTACATAAAGTATTTTTGAGGTCAGAGAATGTTGTCCCATGATGATACTGAAGGATAAAACAGTTCTCCAGAAAGGTGTGTCCTCTTTCTGATGAGAAGCAAAATTAAACCCTTAAAACATTTGCCCTTATCATGAGGCTAGCCATGTGTAACGTGGAATTCAGCCCAAATTCCATCCTGAACAGTTGCAGTCTGCCTGAACAGCTGTGTTTGCCCTCCTAATTTTCTGTGCAGTCTCATTTGGATGTTTGCATTTCTTGTCCCAACATAGTATGTATTTAATTGATCAGGTCGTACCTTTTGTGATAAAATTATTTTGATATTCAAATGCAAAAGATAGCAATTTGAAAACTTGGTAAAGCTGCAGCTCCCATACACTGTATTTTATATCTGTCCACATGTGATTTTCATAGCATGTAAATGGTCTTCAAAATTTGTCATAGGGTGTGTTTTAATGCTGATTGGGCCATGATTCTTAACGGTAAGTACATTATCTCTGCACAAGGAGGCACAGTGTGCTTCAAAGATACCATCAAGAACCATGGTACAGTGCCAATAAATGTTACCATTATTGATAATCTAACAATTTTCCTCTTACATGCTTTGGACTCTAGGAATACCTGAGTTTTACTGCAGAAATTTCAGCTCTCTTCAAATTAAGTGCTTTGAGCTTAGTTCTGCTTAAATGGCACTAAACAACCCTTTGAGTTTTTGGCGTGGTGCTATTTGCTTGCTTGCATTTGTTTTCTGTGCCCTCCCACAGGAAAAGAGCTCAACCAGAACTAAGAGCTTCCTTCCCTAGACCTGCCATGATTATTACATTGTCCATTGTCCTTAGTACCTTTTACCTTCTCTGTTCATTCACTTTCCTTTTTTTTTTTTTTTTTGCTTGAGGAAAATGAATGGCTGATTTTTTACACTGAATTTTCAGTGCCTCCAGCAGGAGTAAATAGCATTTAGGCCTTATTGAAAAGACTGTCATTCTTTAGAGCAAATTCCTCTAAGTTGTAAGCAGAGGCAGGGAGAAAAATGTTAGCATTTCCCTTACTCTTTTTCACCTCTGATGTTGCTTAGTAGTCTTGGAATATGGGTAAAAGTAGGGGAAGGGACACCTAACTGGTTCATGATCTGTAGTGTGGTTTGCAAACTTCATTACGTGGACTGTCCTCAGAGCTTTGGAGGGCAAGTTGGAGGTCAAACCTATATGTTTGAAAGCCACTTATCTGCAAAGAGACCCATTAGAAATCGGCTGCTCCCAAAGTGTGGCTGAATTGAAATATTCTTGTATTGACTTCCTGTAAGATGCCAACACTGAGCCAGGCACTGAGGGACAGGAATATATATAAATTATTTTCCAAGGGAAAGCTGTCTGTTGTTGGAGACAAACATACATAACAAACCCCAATACAAGCTATCTGCGTGTGGTATGTCAATAGAGATGTGAACAACTTGGGATTTGAAAGAATAACTGAAAGTCTTAAATTTTTTAACACTAGGATTTGGAACACACATTTTAAATTGGCCAAATTTTTAAAAAATACAAAGAAGCCAATTGGGAATTATTTGAAATACGTTTTATTTCTTTTACTCTACTGGCTATAGTTTTGTAAGTTGAATTAGTGCTTGATAATTTGAACTTTTAAAATCATTGTGACTGACTCTTTTTGTTCCCAGAAATCAAGATGACTACCAGCTGGTTAGAAAATTAGGCCGGGGTAAATACAGTGAAGTATTTGAAGCCATCAACATCACAAATAATGAAAAAGTTGTTGTTAAAATTCTCAAGGTAAGTACAAGAAGAGAGATTATAACTTCACAGGTTTTTGGAGTTTAGAAATTTTTTTTAAAGTAGCGCTTGAAAGGGTTTTTGGAGTGCTTTAACACCTTGATTTTATTGCTCCTTTGAAGTTGATAGAAGAGATTATCTTCATTTGACAGATCAGGAAACTGAAGCAAGAGAAGTGTTTGACTCAAATCGTACAGCTAGATTGTGGCAGAGGGAGGGAGTAAAGATTCAGTCTTCTCTGTCCTAGATCTTGCCTAACACTGATTTCCTATTTCTTACATTTTTAGTTCTAATCCATGCTTTTGTTTTCAATGAGTTGTTAGCTCTACTGTGTAAAGATGAGGAGCCACAAATGCAGACTTTTAGAGGACAGGTGGATCACATTAATGCAGCTAGTCTGATTTAAGTGCCCATGATTAGAAGATGTGAGTGATGGGTACTATGGCATGTGCTCCAGCTCCAGCTGATGATTGCCCAGCAGTAGTGCAAGTCTAATGTTTTTTGGTACTGTTTCGCAAAAAGAAGCTAGACATTTATATTTGTATACTAATTCCCCTGGTTTTTAAATGTTGGCTTGAGTTTTTTAAAACACCGTACAGGCCAGATTTGGCCAATGGGCTGCCTGTATGCAAATTGTGATTTAGTTGTAACTGTACTGTACACTGCCATATACCAGGAACCTAGCATACAGTTCCTTGCCACAGGAACTTTTCCATATTTGACACGAGAAGCAGAGGGACCCAGACTTTCTCAATTTATAACACCCATATTGCTTCAGTGACTCTCATGGTACCCCTAAGCCAAAAGAAATACGGTTTTGTTTATTAAGTAGTTAAGTCCAGATAACTAAAAAAAGTATTTGTGTTTCAACTGGTAGCCATTTAAAAACTTATACACATAAGTGGAAAAAGTAATTTTATTTTATTCTTATATAACCATAATTAATTACTATTGGGATATGTATACCTATTAGTCACTGCACAACTTCTCAAATGTTGGAATCAGATTGGACACCAGCAGCCTCATTTCCTGTTCCACATTGATTTTTGCACAATACTTGCTTTTTGTCACAGCAATTGCTGAAAACCCAGTTTCACAAAAATATGCCATTAAAGAGAATATAGTGCAATCTAATATTGAAACTGAACTACCTCAGGCTGATTGTGCACTCATTGACTGACAGACAGCAAGTATTAATTGGCGTCTTCCTTCAAAAAGTAAAAATCCCACAGAACACCTGTTTTGGCATACCTTTCGGGAACCAGAGTTTAAGTATTTATATCTTATCTTGTGTAGAAAGAGAACTAGGCTGGAAATCGGGACATTTGGATTCTAATCCAAACTCTAAAAGTAATTAGCCATGGTAGTCCTTTTAATTATTTAAGACATATTGGTTCATCTGTGAAAATGAGAGTTACCAGGATCAAATACAAAATTGTATATAGATATATACTTTGGAAACGGAAGTTCTGTGTAATTGTAAGATGATATTCCTATGGAAAAGTATATGATAGACTGAAGTGATATATTATTTAGAGTCATCTGAAAGGCATAAATAGTGAGTCTTACAGTTCAGAAGAGAGTAGTGATGGTTAGGCAAAGCTCCCTGGAACTGTTTTCAGGCCCTGAGTGGGAGAAGGATTTGGATTCGTGTGCATGGGAGCATGGAAGGGAAGCATACTCTAGAATGCACAAGATTAAGAAAAGAGGAAGAAATAAGTGAGAGAAATGTTTCATGTGGAAGTTGTCATGTGATCATACATGGGAAGTAAACTTGGAAAAGGAGATTAAATTAATGATGGCCTGGGAAAAGATAACATCTCCATTTCCTTCCAGCCTTGCAAACTGTGATTTTTATCTCATCTAGGTTGTTGGGAGCCATTGATGGTCTTGAGTGATGGGTGGTTTGGAAAGATTTTTTTTCCTAGCTCAGTCTTTTCCTAACTGTACTGTATATGTTACTGTAACTGTGTAGCTAGATGGTATAATTATAGATAAAGCTCACTCATAACTATATTTAAATTTTTTAATTTCCCCCCATTTATTAGACAAAATTTGCATTGATCACATTAAATTAGGATTTAAGTGACCTGCCTGGTCTGTCTAGCTTTTGTAAGTTTATAGATTTTAAGGATTCTGTAGAATAAAAGTTTTGTAAACCAGTAGCTTTTTGCCATCAACCAGCAGTTGGGATATAGTGATTCAGTAGAAAACAGGAGAGAGATTGATGGATTAGTTCCTGAAGAGTAGAAACATCTCCTAGATGCTCCAGCAGATCAGAAAGATCTGGTAGTCAAAGCAAATAGAAAACTTGTGATCAGCTTGTTTCCTAGCCAGTGTAGTGAGTTCTAATAGAAGCAAGGCTGAGACCATGGATTGAATTAAATGTGGAATTCACTATTAGTAAAACGGCTTCCATTTATTTATTTACTTTTAATGTGTTTTTTAATTTTTTTTTGGCCACACCTCATGGCTTGCGGGATCTTAATTCCCGGACCAGGGATCGAACCCGGGCCCTCGGCAGTGAAAGCTCGGAGTCCTAACCACTGGACCACCAGGGAATTCCCAGCTTCCATTTATTGACTGTCTACTTTGCATTGGGCCCTTTTGTAGCTGTAGTATTTACATCACAATTCTGCAAAGCAAGTGTGAAGTTCAGAAACACTTAAGTGCTTTTCCCAAAGTTCCACAGCTACAAAGCCAGGGTTTGAGGACAGTCCTTCCAAAATGTGCTTGCTTCCTGCTGTACCATGTGCTTAGGACTCAAGAAAAGGTTAAAAGAGTCTACAGTATTGTTTGGTAGTTCCTAGATCTGGATTATCAACCCGAGAAGCATCTAAAAATAGATCTCCAGCTCTGTTCTCAAGATTCTGATTCAGCAGATCTTTACAGTTTGTATATTAAAAAACCCAGGTTGATAATCAAAGTTTAGTAACCAGTAGTCTTGTTAATGAAGAGATGGTATATACTTACAACAGTTTCTAAGAAGCGTATGCAGTGTGTCAGTAGTCTGAGGTGACCAACACCAATAGGAAAGATTGCCTGGTCCAGTGTGGCAGACACAGGTCACACGTGGTTATTGAGCATTTGAAATATGGCTGGTCCAAACTGAGATATGCTGTAAGCATAAAGTACAGCAGATTTCAAAGGCCTAGTACAAAAATATATATATATAAAATTGCTCATTAGTAATTTTTTATATTGATTTACATGTTGAAATGATAACATTTTGGTTATATTTTTGTTAACTAAAATGTATTATTAAAATTAATTTTGTCTGTTTCTTTATATTTTTTAAACGAGGGTACTAGAACATTTAAAATACACCTGTGGGGAATTCCCTGGCGGTCCAGTGGTTAGGACTCGGCACTTTCACTGCCACAGCCTAGGTTCAGTCCCTGGTGTGGGAACTAAGATCCCACAAGCTGTGAGGCGTGGCCAAAAAAATAAAAAATAAAATACACATGTGGCTTGCATTGTATTTCTTTTGGACCAGCACTGTTTTAGACTGTTTAGAAAGAAGGTTTTGTAGAGGAGGTGCATTTGGACCAAAGCCCTTCTCAAAAAAAAAAAAGAAAGATTTCTATACCAGAGCAGATGTGGAAATGATGGGTGAAGATAAAGGAATGTGGAGGATATATTGGTTATAAGGCTAGACAGATATTATGTGTTATGTCTCAGCCATATTCTGAGGTCTTTTCAGGTACCTCATTTGATTCTTGCAATAATATTATGAGATAAGTACTCTTGTTGATCGTTTTACCCGTAATGAAAGGTTTAGAGAGGTTATATAACTTGCCCATAGACACACAGCTAGCAGGCAATGAAAGAAGGATTCACATTAGGCACACATTTAACCCAAAAGGTTATACTGCACAAAGATGGTGTGACTGGGCTTCTCTGGTGGCGCAGTGGTTGAGAGTCCACCTGCCGAGGCAGGGGATCCGGGCTCGTGCCCTGGTCCGGGAAGATCCCACATGCCGCGGAGCAGCTGGGCCCGTGAGCCATGGCCGCTGAGCCTGCGCGTCCGGGGCCTGTGCTCCGCAACGGGAGAGGTCACAGCAGTGAGAGGCCCGCATACAGCGAAGAAGAAAAAAAAAAAAAAAAAAAGATGGTGTGGCCATCTTTGCTGTTGGTCCTGATCTCCTTCATTTCTGTAGGGTGTTTATAAGACTTAGAGGAAGGAATGGAAAGAGCCCCATGCTTCATGCTAATTAATAAAAAGATTTTTCTAGATATATCTTAGTATTACATTTACATTCCTAGTTTGTATAGTTTTTAAAAGTTAACACATTAGGACTGATGATTGGAATTAAATGGTAATTCTGCAGAATTTTGGTCTTTGGAGTGGAAATCTTTTTTTCTTTCAATTCAGTACTTGCTAAGTACCTGCAAAATACCTGGTACAGGGCTAGGAGAAGGGGGATTCAGAGATAACTCTGACACATTTCCTTCCTTCAAGGAGCTCATAAGTAAGCCATTCATGTATTACATTACCTGTTGAAATATCCTGAAATAATTTTTTTTAATGATGTACTTTTACCCTTTCAGCCAGTAAAGAAGAAGAAAATCAAGCGTGAAATAAAGATTTTGGAGAATTTGCGAGGCGGTCCCAACATCATCACACTGGCAGACATTGTAAAAGACCCTGTGGTGAGTATAATAGGTGCTAGTAAGGCCCACCAGAGCTGAGGTGGTGTTTGACCCTGAGCACAACTGGCCTCTGTTTGTTCCTCCCTCTACCATTAAGTCCTGCTTTAAAAGTGCTTAATCAGTTACACCACTTAACTAGCTTGGGTCTTTCTTTCAAAGAGATCTCCACCCACAGACTATTTCTTATTCTTCTAGGCTAAGAGACTGATAGCACTGGAAACTGAAATGTGTTAATCCATTTTGCAAACTCAGGTCCGATGCCGATGGGCGATGGGCGCATTGTTGGGCTGCCTAGAGCCTGGTGAGACTTCAGCTCCATGTCTTCTGTTTGAAATCCATCCCCAATATGACCTAAGTGTGGTGATGATCAGAGTGGGGAGGGCTTATAGCAATAGAGGGTTTCCTACTACTGAGGCAAGGACTGCCAAATTCACCACGTAGTGTCCGCAAACATTGTGCCCACTAAAGCTGCCAGGGCTATTACTAATGTGTGTTTTCTTTTTCTTTCCCCTAGTCACGAACTCCCGCCTTGGTTTTTGAACACGTAAACAACACAGACTTCAAGGTATAATGTATAACCAACCATTTCAAGCTGTTGGGTTTTTAGACCACATAGAAAGTCTTTCAGGGATGTTACTGTTAGAAGAGCTTCCTTCTAACTTACTTAAAAAGAGCTTTTCATCCTTATAGTGCTAATTTTTTTTTCCTTTCCTCCCTCCCTCCCTCCCTCCCCTCCTCCCTTCCTCCCTTCCTTTCGGCTGCATTGGGTCTTAGTTGTGGCACGCGGGATCTTCGTTGAGGCACACGGACTTCTCTAGTTGGTGGCGTGCGTGTTTTCTCTTTAGTTGTGGTGCACGGGTTCCAGGGCGTGTGGGCGCTCTCGTTGAGGCACGCAAGCTCAGTAGTTGCGGCATGCGGGCTTAGTTGCCCTGAGGCATGTGGGATCTTAGTTCCCTGACAGGGATCGAACCCACGTCCCCTGCATTGGAAGGCGGACTCTTTACCACTGGACTGCCAGGGAAGTCCCCTTACAGTGCTAAATTTAAATATAGACATACTCTTGTACAAACAGTGCTCACTTTCCATATCTTGGTATTTTGCCTTTTTATTTGTTTAGTGCTCTTTCTAATGACCAGTACTTTTATTTCTCACCATTTGACAGTTTACCATTCGTTTGACAGTTTCCGGTGATGTCATACTTAATGAAAGCAACAGCTCATGTTTAGTCAGGATCCGGCCTTAGGACATTTCTCTTTAAAATGACAAAGTTCAAGAAGAAATGTATTGTCTATATATAAAAGCAAGGACTGCTTGCTTATACCTTAGGATTCCTCAGAATCTTTGGGTTCTAGATCTTAAAAAGAGATGGGTGGGGAAGGGTAGTGTAAATTCTGGTAAAGCGCAAACCTCTGCAACAGATACTCTGACTTCTGGCCAATTTCAACAATTCTCAACTCCAGCACAACAGAAGAATGTAGGCACTCTCTTGGGTTTTAATTTGTAAAGGTATTTGACTTGCCTTTGCACCAGGCCAGTATCATTAGGTATATGGGTCTTCCCTGGTGGTGCAGTGGTTAAGAATCCGCCTGCCAATGCAGGGGACACGGGTTTGAGCCCTGGTCCAGGAAGATCCCACATGCCACAGAGCAATTAAGCCCGTACGCCACAAGTACTGAGCTTGTGCTCTAGAGCCGGCAAGCCACAACTACTGAGCCCGTGTGCCACAACTACTGAAGCCCGCGTGCTTAGAGCCTGTGCTCTGCAACGAGAGAAGCCACTGCAGTGAGAAGCCAGCGCACTCAGCAACGAGTAGCCCCTGCTTGCTGCAGCTAGAGAAAGCCTGTGCACAGCAACGAAGACCCAATGCAGCCAAAAATAAATAAATACATAAATTTTTAAAAAAGAAATGTTAGGTATCAATAAATGAGTGAATTCTTTTGCTGAGTGGAGGAAAAAAGGAAGAAGAATTGTTTTAGAATCAGAATGATAATTTCAAGGAAAATGTTGTCAGAGGACACCACTGACCATTTAATGATATGTACATTTTTTTAAAGTCCGAAACTCTTTAGAAACTGGAAAAGATACATGACATGTTCAGAGTTTACTTTCATGACATGTTCAGAGTTTACTTGCAAATTGGGACAGTTCTATTAAATTGGCTCAGCAGATTTGACAGCAGTCCATCTGCATACCCACTGGTGATCTGCATTGCCTGTAACTGTAGGCCAAAGGGGAATTAATTCCCTACTAAGGAGGCTATGTGTTTGCGCACGTGTTTTATGAGAAGATCTGGAGGTAAATGAAAAACTACAAATGTATATCAGTGCGTGTTCCATATGTAAATTGGTATGTTCCCAAAAGTAGATTATAGCTTCAGCAATATGAACTTAAGTAATTCTTCACTTTTATATATAGAGTTAAAGACCCAAAGTGTCTCTTTCGTTTTATATTGGAGAAGTAGAGAGTGGTGAACAGACAGATCTTAGAACAGTGGTAAATGAGCCCAGTCTTGATTTGAATTACTACAAATGAGGATGAGAAATTTCCTTCCTTTCAGTACTATTTCATGGCTCAAATGTTGCATTTGTCTTTAACAGCAATTGTACCAGACGTTAACAGACTATGATATTCGATTTTACATGTATGAGATTCTGAAGGTAAGAGAACCTTGAATACTAAATATCATTAGATCTCTCCTTTGTTAAATAATCGAAATGACCCTAGAAAAGCCAGTGGGTTAACTTTGTAAAATATGGGGTTTGGGGGTCTGTTTATATAAATTTTTAATAAATTAGTAGCATCAGAATTCTTATGCTGATGTAAAGGTTATGGAATAAGGGTCTAGTAAGAATATAATTTATAATGCTTTGAAAGGGGTATTTAGAAGAGAGGTGGGACTCCTTAACAAATATCTGTATCTTGCTCTTACGAAAGTTACAGTTAAATTGTCAAAACTTGTAAAAAAAAAAAAATAACTCCTGGTGTAATGGCTTCTGGTGTACTTTATTTCACTTAAAATTGAACAAGTAAAGCAGTAAACTTTAACTCTGCCCTCAAAGGGCCATTGTCCTAAAGATTATGTAAATCTGTGCTTAGAGATTGGTGATTTAGAATGAACTTTGATTCCTGAAGTGGGATCACCAAATATATTGCTTCCAGTAGTCAGAAGATGAGCTTTATAGATAAGAAGATTGCTAAGAGTTGGCTAGTGTCTTACTAAATGAGGATTGACATAAAGTCTGCATTTGAACCTTAGAAGTACCCTGAAGAGACTATGCCAGCAGAAATATTTGATCTTTCCATTGGCTCATGCATTCTTGTGGCAAGCAGGACTTCCGAAAGTTAAGGATATGTTTGCCTAATCCTGGGAACCATAGGAACCCAAGTTGCCCTTCAGAAAGGACAAGAACTTGGCCAATGACATCAGCTGACTTGAGGGCCTGGATTAGCAAGCCCCAGAGGTTATGCCACTCACTAGTTTGAGATTGGACATGGTTTTCAAATTGGGTTTGATGTCATAAATCAGGAGTTGGCAAACTCCTTTACAAGGACAAATGGTAAAATTTTTGGCTTTGTGGGCCATAGGGTCTTTCTCACACTGCTCACCTCTGATGTTGTAGCATGTTCCAATTAAGCATTCACAAAAACGAGCAGCAGGCCGTATTTGGCCCATGGGCCGTGGTTTGCCGACCTCTACTGCATACTCTTAGCTGCTAAAGAATTACTGTTCTTTGAATACAAGGTTTGTAGTATAGATCAGTTTTCTTCTTTTGAGGGGCTCGTGTTTGTGAAAATAATCCAGGCTTTGGGTAAGGGGGAGAAATTGGAAGTCATGTAATTGGTATACGCTTTGAGTCTTTTTAACAAAAAGGATGTTGAAACAACTGTGCAAGAACAGGATTTGAAGTTTAGAGGCCATGCATGGGTTTGCACAAGTCTCTAAAAAGTACCTGCGGAAGTGATTGTCCTTACTTTGACTCTCAGGAGTGTTGTGAGGCTAGAAGGAAAACCGTGGAGGAAAAGGTAAGGGACTTTAACTAAAAAATCACTCTTATGCAAGCTAACGCTTTCCTTTCTTACCTGTTCCTCCCACAGGCCCTGGATTATTGTCACAGCATGGGGATTATGCACAGAGATGTAAAGCCCCATAATGTCATGATTGATCATGAGCACAGAAAGGTAAAGTGATAGATGGACAAGTCTTATTTATCAACATGATGGAGTTAACAACCCATCTTCAACATTTTATTCCTAGCATCTGTCATAGTCCGTGGTACCTGTTAGGCACTTAATAAATATTTGATGAATGAATGAATGAACAAATCAGTGTGGAATCTACAATATGACATTAATGAACTTATCTATGAAACAGACTCACAGACACAGAGAACAAACTGTGGATGCCAAGGGGGAGGGGGGTGGGGGAAGGATGGACTGGGAGTTTCTAGAATAGATAAGCAACAGGGTCCTACTCTATAACACAGGGAACTATATTCAATATCCTGTGATAAACCCTAATGGAAAAGAATGTATGTATATCTGAATCACTTTTCTTTACAGCAGAAGTTAACACAACATTGTCAATCAACTAGAATAAAATAAATTTTTTTAAAAAATCACAATGATTAAAACTTTATTTATTCATTCATTCATATTCCTATCAAAAAGAAAACATTAGTGTAGTGGGTAAAACATTAGTTTTGGCAGGGAACCTGGTTTCTAGTCTTAAAAACTACTCTCTTGGGAAATGCCTTTCTCCTCATCTGCCTCTTTTTTTTTTTTTTTTAACCTATACAGTGGGTATACAAGTAATATTTGTCTTGCATGCCACTAGGTTATTGTGAGAATTAAGTGTGTACAGTTGTGAAATGGATGAAATATTCAGAAAATGCTGCTGTTTATTAGCAAGTATCATGAGGCCCCTGAGCTCTACAAGTACTTTTAATGAAAGCTGCAGTGTTACATTTCTGTTTTTTAAGGTGACCCAAGCCCACCTTTTATGCAGTGATGGCTCTCTGTTGTAGGCTTTGGGGATATAGGTGATTTGTTCATTCAGTTAGTATTCTTTTAAGCACACACTATGTAATAGGTATTGTTCTGGAGGCTGGGGATATATGTGTGAGACAAAAATAGATTAAAAATTCTTGTCCATAGGAGTTCACATCTGGGGGAGACTGGTAGGATAGAAAGTTAAAAGTGATGTGGAAGGGGCTTCCTGGTGGCACAGTGGTTGAGAGTCCGCCTGCCGATGCAGGGGACACGGGTTCATGCCCTGGTCCGGGAAGATCCCACATGCCGTGGAACGGCTGGGCCCGTGAGCCGTGGCCGCTGAGCCTGCGTGTCCGGAGTCTGTGCTCCGCAACGGGAGAGGCCACAACAGTGAGAGTCCCGTGTACTGCAAAAAAAAAAAAAAAAAGTGATGTGGAAGAAAAAATAAAACAGGAATAGGGAGTGGCAGAGGGTGTTGCAGTTTTAAACAAGGTGGTAAGGAGAAGGTTTCATTAGGAAGGTGACATTTTGGAGAACGCTTGAAGGGAATCAACCATGCAGTCTCGGGAAGGGGATATAGCAGATGCAAACGCCTGAGACAAGAATGTGCCTGGCATGTTGGAACAGCACAAGGATAGAGCTGGGATAGAATGAACACGGGGAAGAGGGGAAGGAAAGGAGATCAGAGAGATAAATAGAACCAGATCATGCAAAACCTGGAAGATCACTGTCAGGCCTTTTCTCCGAAGACACAGGGGTTTTGCAGGATTTGAGCAGAGGGTTGGTAAGTTCTCACTTGAGTATTTAAAAGTTCACTACACATCTATTAGAACAGCTAAAATAAAAAATAGTGACAGTTCCAAATACGGACAAGGATGCAGGGTAACTCAATCTCTCATACATTGCTGATGGGAATGTCAAGTGGCATACTCATTTTGGAAAATGTCAAACTATTGTTTTATAGTTTGTCAGTTTCTTTAAAAGCTATAAACAATCCAGCAGTGACATTTATCCCAGAGAAACAAAGACTTAGGTCCACACAAAAACCTTCAGTGCATAAATGATTCATCAAACTCTGGTGTATCTATACTATGTGGTATTGTTACTGATTAGTAAGAACTATTGATAATGTAACAGCTTGGATGGGTCTCATGCTGAGTGAAAAAAAGCAGCCTCAAAAAGTTAAACTGATGGTTCCATTTCTATAATACTCTCAAAACGATAGTTAGAAAACAGAGAGGTTACCAGGGGCTAGAAAGTGAGAGGAAGGTATAGCACAAAGGACATCTGTGGTGATGTCCTTCATCTTGTGGTGTAAGCTATGTGAAGCTGCACATGTGATAAAATTGTGTAGTACTGTACACACTTATGCATGCAAAACTGCTGAAAAAGAAAGGTCTCTGAATTGTCAGTTTCCTGGTTTTGATATTGTACTATAGTTATGTAAGATATTGCCATCAGGGGAACTGGTGAAGGGTACACAGAACATCTCCAAATTCCTATGAATTTATAATCATTTTTAAATAAAAATACTTTTTAAAAGGATCATTCTGGTTCCTGTGTGGAGAATTGAGGGTAAAAGTGAAAGGTAGACCAGTTAAGAAAAGCAGCTCTTGCAATAAATCAGAGATTGGTGATGGCATGGACCGGAGCAATGGCAGTGGATGTGATGATATGGTCAGAATATGGTAGAGCCAACAGGATTTGTTGACAGATTAGACTTGGGGTGAAAGGGAGACAAGAGTCCAGGGTGAAAAGTTTTTGACCTGAATGACAGGATAAATGGAAGGTAACAGAGGAGGAGGAATCTGGGAGAAACAGGTTTTGCAGGGAATTATCAGAGGTTTAGTTTTGAGATGTCTGTTAGGTGATCACAGAGAGATGGCTGGTGATATGTGTGGGCTAGAGAGTATAGGTGGGAAAAGCAGAGATACTGTGTGTGAAGCCACAAGACCAGAAATGGTCATCTGGGAATACTTATTGATAAGACAGGAAGCTCAGGGACAGCTCTGGAGCACTGATATTAAGAGGTTGAAGAGAAAGTGATAAAAAAGTTATATTTTCTTTCATACCTTTTGTTATATTTCCCTTTGTTTACTAAAAGAAGACACTGAACCTAATTAACAGTGAACTTTTGGAGACAGTACTGGAGCAGTCAGGCATTACTCAGACCCTACTGCTCACACTTCAAATCATGGTTATGGTTTGCACACAAAGGGCAAATAAGGTTGCCTTTTTTTTTTTTTTTTTTTTAATTGGGGTATAGTTGCTAAGGTTGCCTCTTGTCCTTGCTACTACTGTTTCCACTTTCAGGATACATTTTGGTAAGAGCTGTTTTGTGTGGCTTTTCTCTTACTGCATTCACTCAGTAAATGTTTTTAGGTTTTCTCCTGTGTACTGGGCATTACACTGAATTCTAAAAATTAGCAAAGGTGAATAAAACAGTCCCTACCCTCAAGGATCTTACCGTCCATATTTTTTTTTAAAACGTTTTCTTCTTTACTCAATTTTTTTTTTTAATAAATTTATTTATTTATTTTTCTCTGCGTTGGGTCTTTGTTGTTACGCGCAGCCTTCCTCTAATTGTGGCAAGCGGGGGCTACTCTTCATTGTGGTGTGCGGGCTTCACATTGCGGTGACCTCTCGTTGCAGAGCGTGGGCTCTAGGCACGTGGGCTTCAGTAGTTGTGGCATGCGGGCTCAGTAGTTGTGGCTTGAGGGCTCTAGAGTGCAGGCTCAGTACTTGTGGCACACGGGCTTAGTTGCTCCGCGGCATGTGGGATCTTCCCAGGCCAGGGATCAAACCCATGTCCCCTGCATTGGCAGGCAGATTCTTAACCACTGTGCCACCAGGGAAGTCCCCAGTCCATCTTTTTTTAAAAGGTAGCAAACAGATATTCAGTAAAGAGCTGTAGGTTCTATTAAAGAAATTTTAAGGTTGGTTGGGTAGGGGGGCATATCAAAGACAATAGTTGCTTCTATTTGCATAATTAGAAAAGACTTCATTAAAGGAGCTAACTTAAGTAACTCAAAAGATGAGGTGTTCACCACAGTAGGAGTCTATATTGAATAGTGGAGACATTCTAGTCAGATGAGCAGTTTAAGAAATTTGCAAGCAGCCACATAGCACAGGGAGATCAGCTCAGTGCTTTGTGACCACCTAGAGGGATGGGAGAGAGGGAGACACAAGAGGGAAGAGATATGGGGACATATGTATATGTATAACTGATTCACTTTGTTATAAAGCAGAAACTAACACACCATTGTAAAGCAATTATACTCCAATAAAGATGTTTTTTAAAAAATCACTAAAAAATAAAATTTGCAAAAGCACAGAATGAGATTGTATTTTTCAGGAACTGTAAGTCTCACTAGAGCAAAGGAATTAGATCCTGGAGAGAACCCTGTATGTCAAGCTAAGAAGTTTTATTTTCATCCTAAATGCAATAGGTGGTCACTGAAGGGGTTTCAATAGAGAGTGACATGGCTGTTATTTTTAAAAATATTACTCTAGGGAATTCCCTGGTGGTCCAGTGGTTAGGACTCTGCGCTCTTGCTGCCGAGGGCCCGGGTTTAATCCCTGGTCAGGGAACTAAAATCCCACAAGCTGCACAGCGCAGCCAAATAAAAAGAGTACTTCTAATGGCAGTGTGAGGGGTAACTTAAAAGATAAAGTCACTCATTATTTATTATCTTTTTATTTCAGCTACGGCTAATAGACTGGGGTTTGGCTGAGTTTTACCATCCTGGCCAAGAATATAACGTCCGAGTTGCTTCCCGATATTTCAAAGGTCCTGAGCTACTTGTAGACTATCAGGTGAGAAGAGGAGGGCAGATAAAATTTTGGTCCTTGTGTTTATTTTGCACATAATTTGCAAAAAATGTCATTTTGCACTTTTGAGTAGGCCATTTATGCACATCCATGGCTATCCCTTTTATATGAATGTAAAATATGAATCACTTCAGTTCATCTGCCACAACTTATGTTTGTATTGTCATAATGTCAGTAGAATTTGAATAGATCTGCATCTGATCCTAACTGAAGAGAAAGACACTTTTTCTAATCAGAAATTACACAGCTAGTTTGAGAATTGTAAGCTAGATTTAACCAACCTTAAAAGTAAACTGAAAAAAATGTTCTCTTCTTAAATTATATCTAGATATAAAGACCTTCCCCCTACCAAAAAAGAAAAGAAAGCACTCTTCTCACGGAAACAAAATCCTTGGGAATACCTTTCCTGCCCCAGTCCTCCCACGTGTTATCAGATACCTTAAAAAGTTCAGACTCTGTCCTAGAAATTCCTTTTCTGGGGTCTTGAGGATATAACCCTGAGTTCAAAAAACATTTTATACATAAAAATATTCTTTACAACATTATTTATAATGGTGAAAAACAGAACACTATCCTGTTGTAGGAGAAGTTAAAGATTAAATTCTGAAGCATTCATGCAATAAAAAAATGATACACGTTAGAAGGTTTCCATAGGCTGACAATTGGGTTGTTCTTACGTAAGTGAAGAAAGTAATTCAAAATAGTATGTACAGATTTAAAATGAGAGGGTGGGGGAGCATGGGTGGGAATGCATAGAAGAAAAACATGTTTTTGGTATTTGGACTTTAAGTCAGTGGAGTGGTTTGTTTTTAATAAAAAGCTTTTCTAAAAAAATTTGAAGTGACAGGATTCACTCTTGTCATTTCATGTGTGATGACGACATTTTCTTTAATGCAGATGTATGATTATAGTTTGGATATGTGGAGCTTGGGTTGTATGCTGGCAAGTATGATCTTCCGGAAGGAGCCATTTTTCCATGGACATGACAATTATGATCAGGTGATATATGTTGTTCCTATTAGGAAATTTACTGGTCTTACCAAGTGACGGCCAGATCTGCTTACCCATTAGAAACTGCAGTGGATCTTGCTAAAATACAGATGCCTGGCCCCCCCACCTGAGAGCTATTAAATTAATAAGTTAGAATCTGAGAGTGGGACCCTAGAATAATTTTCAAATATTCGCTTGTCAGCCAACCTGACATTGATCCTCAGATTGGTGTCTTGGGAACTACTGGTTTAGCTTTTGAAATTAGAGTTTTTCCTTTGCATTGCTTGTTTAATTGTGAGATATACTTGTATATACATGTTTTAGGAAATATTTTACAGTTCAAAGAATAATAGTTTAAAATGTAGGATATTACCTTAGAATCTCCTAATGTGAGCTTTTATTAGGGTTAGGAATGTTTTCTCCAACATGTTGGTTTATATGTGGTATTTCTGTGATCCTTTTGTCTCGTCATACAGATTGAGTTGATGCATGTCAGTAGAAATATAGATGGTATTTTTTATACTAGCTGCACTTCCCCTTGTAGATCAAGGGGCCATTTCATTCAAGGGAACCTGGAATGATTCTAGGGCCTTGTGGAAGGTACTGTTGCCTTGTTTGAGCACAATGACTTTTTTTTTTAATTAAACTTTATTTTGAGGTAATGTAAATTCATGTGAAGTTGTAAGAATTAATACAGAGAAATATGGTGTGCCTTTTATCCAGTTTCCCCCTAACATAACTTTTTGCAAAACTATGTACAGTATCACAACCAGGATGTTGATATCAATATAACCAAGGTACAGAACATCTCTGTCACCTCAAGGATCCTTCATTTGCCCTTTTATAGTCGCACTAAGTTCCCCTCCCCCCTTTCATGCTTCTCTGTTGTAACCTCCATTTCTGCAATTTTATCATTTCGAGAATGTTATATACATATGATGACCATTTTTCATATGAGTCGAAGAATACCGTGTGAATTCGGTTAAAATCAGCAACTCTTTATCAGGTGCCATGCAGAATTGAGGAATATAGACAAAAAGAAAGAATAGCCCCTCATCTCAAAAGTCCTTCATAGTCTGTCTAGCAAGGGAACCAAACATATAAGAAAGTAAGTTACAGTAGTAAATGTCAGAGTAGAAGTGTAGACAAGATACAAAAGACAGTTGTAATGGGAATGAGTGGTCTGAGTATATGGGGTTGGGGGGGAGCTTCCCAAAGGAAGTGACATCTTCAGCTGGGTTGTAAGGGGGAAAAAAATAAGACTTCACCAGAAGGAAGGAAGCAGGTTATAAAGTGGTTTGCTTTTTCTGTTTGATACATTCACATCAGTAATAATTTAGGAAACGTTATGTGGAAATCCATTCATGTTGTGCAAAAAAATTTGAAGTAAATTGGTTGTAACATTCATACCTGTAGCCATGATGATCCGTTCTGTTAATTCAGTCATGGTTAATTGTTGATTTAATCATGTAATATGCTTTTGGTGTGGGTTTTGTCTTCTTCAATCCTAGTTGGTGAGGATAGCCAAGGTTCTGGGGACAGAAGATTTATATGACTATATTGACAAATACAACATTGAATTAGATCCACGTTTTAACGATATCTTGGGCAGGTAAGTCACAAAATTAAATCTGTGCATCTGTGCCTTAAGCAGTTTGGGTGTAAACTGGTACTTTGGATCCCCAGAATAGTTATGTTCTCTTTGCCAACACTGCTGAGGTATCTCTGGTCCACTGCTACAGAATGCTGCATAGGCAGGCCTGTGATAAAAGCATTGGATTGAATGGCCATTTCCCCAGATTCACTTACAGGATTCTGAGTGTGGAGGTTGTAGTCAGAAGATTCCTGACTATGTAGAGTCTAGTAGAAGGGTTACAGTTGAGTCAGAAATCAAAATCTCCTGATTCAACTTGCTTCTCTAAATGACAGAATTGTCTCTAAGAGAAAGAAATAGTCATAGAATAAGTACATGCTTCAAGACTGATGTGCAGACAACAGACTCTAAAAATAGTGACTAGACACAACACTAACTCATTCACCACTTAACAGGAAGAGGTGAACTTTCTTGATACAAAGGCTTTTCCTGGCCAAGTGGCAGTGATGCCAGGAAAGGGAGTGTGGGGGATGGGGAGGGAGGTCTGGTTAGCCCAGCCACCTGGCCCTCCTTGCTGTGCAGGAGCATTCAGTCCTGTAAAGTAACCTGAATTATGTTTCATAAAATTGTGGGGACCCAGATTTCTCTTTTCTGCAACACTGCTATTTCCAGTCTCTCCAATTAGCTTTGTTGTCTCTGCAGTGGCAGAGCGGTATAAGACTAGTCTCTTGAGTTTTTATTTCTCTTGTGGTTGGCTGGAATCCTAGCCACTAAGGAAAATGTAGGAGTGAAATGTTGGGCTTCTCTGCCCCTTGGTCCATTTCTCATTCCCCCTTTTGGCTCTGCAGACATTCCCGTAAGCGATGGGAACGCTTTGTCCACAGTGAAAACCAGCACCTTGTCAGCCCTGAGGCCTTGGATTTCCTGGACAAGCTGCTGCGGTACGACCACCAGTCACGGCTCACCGCAAGAGAGGCCATGGAGCACCCCTATTTCTGTGAGTCCAGCTGTTCAGTCCACAGAGCCTGTGCAGGCCTGCCCAGTAGATTGTACCAGGCAGGGGAGAATATATGCTGTGAAGAAAGCCCTGGGCCCAGAGCCCTACAGAACAGAATTGGAATTCCAACCTCCTGTACTTAGCTTGCTGCAAGGTTACTTCACCCACAGTGAGCCTTGGTTTCTTCAGTGGGGACCATGATTGTTGAGAGGATTCTTATCTAACAGAGTACCTGACTTATGATCACTCCTAAATAAATTGCTTTTCTTACTGTGTGGGTGACACTTCTCAGTGGCTAGTCTGGAGTGGTTGGATTAGAACATACAGCCCTGTATCTGTCCCGTCTCTTGTTAATCATTTGTTGGAGAGAGCCAAAAAGGCTTGAAAACCTTATTGTATGAACACCTTGACCTAGGTTTGTGAGTATAGCTAACTGTTGTCATGAGTGAAAATGCCACTTAGCTGCACCCCATCCTCACTGTGTTGGGTTATTCCTTGGGGAGTGGTTGGGTGGTATTTTAGTGAATCAATTACACTCTTGCTCAGTCTCCTGTACCTAAAGCAGACTGAAAGGCTGATGGAGATGTAGAGTGAAGTCTGTGGTCATAGCACTAATTTGCACAAGCCTGTAATTTTGGCCTGTTTGGCACCAAGCTGTAAACCGAAGTAAAACCAATTCACTCCGATAATATATTTCTGTTTGGGTAAGGGTAAATTGTATTATGTCATTAAATTCTAACAGGATTGGTTTTGTTTTAAATTAGCTCTACTAGTGATAATTACCTCCTTTTCCTACTATTTAGTTTAGTAGTTGGCCTTTACCACAGTTTGACAGGAAAGATAGTTTTATTTTGTATTACTTGTTCAATTCATAGTGAAGGCAGTTGACACCTTAATTCTATTACTAAGGGAATAATATGGAATACAAATAAAATGTAAAGAATGAGGATGACAGCTTTAAGGCCCCAGCCCATTAGTTTAATCCTTCAAGCATAACAGAATCTAACCTTTTTGTCTCTTTTCTAGACACTGTTGTGAAGGACCAGGCTCGAATGGGCTCATCTAGCATGCCAGGGGGCAGTACGCCTGTCAGCAGCGCCAATATGATGTCAGGTCAGTTCATTGGTAAATTTATTTTTTTAAGAAAAGATAGAAGTCAGTTATCATTCTTAATTTTGCTCCCTCTTTGTGACCTGATTTCTGTGGCCCTCCCTCTTCTCTATAATGATTACCTTATTGACATACTGACCTGTATGGCTCTCCCCACCAGGTTTCAGGATGCTTTTGAAACCTGGTATACCTTAATGGCCCTGCCTTGAGTAAGAGTATCAACAGTCTCTTCTAGGCCAGAATCACAAAAATTATTTGGGACTTGAAAGTCTCAACAAGCCATGAGGAGCAAAGAGATCCTTTCATCTCACAGGTTAGAGTGACAGTAGGTGATGCTGTCCTCAGAAACAAGATTAAGAACATGAGGGAGAGTAGAGATGGGGTTTGTACATGGGTATATATGCGTATAAGAATGGTTCTCGGGCTTCCCTGGTGGTGCAGTGGCTAAGAATCTGCCTGCCAATGCAGAGGACATGGGTTCGAGCCCTGGTCCAGGAAGATCCCACATGCTGCAGAGCAACTAAGCCCGTGTGCCACAACTACTGAGCCTGCACTCTAGAGCCCGCGAGCCACAACTACTGAAGCCTGTGTGCCTAGAGCCCGTGCTCCGCAACAAGAGAAGCCATTGCAATGAGAAGCCCGTGCACCACAATGAAGAGTAGCCTCCGCTTGCTGCAACTAGAGAAAAGGCCGCGCGCAGCAACAAAGACCCAACACAGCCAAAAATAAAATAAATAAAATAAATTAATTAAAAAAAGAATGGTTCTCTGAGTTTTTCCAGAGCAACTACAGTGTACCTAGTAAATTATAATGGTTTATATGAAATTATCTTTAATGTTGTTGAGTCATTATGATTTAGAGTGAGTTTTTACCCAGAAGAAACCACAGTTACCGAAAAGAAGCCATAGGCCTGTCCCCTAAGAATTATATATGTAGGCAGCGTCCACATGGATATACTCGTGATCGTGAGGGTGCTTAGACACCCTCAAAGAATTGCTGTTGTCTGAATTCTTTTTTTAAAGAACTAGCTGCCTTCTAGAGTTTATCCTCTGGGTATCATGCCAACGTGCAAAATGATATATGTCCAAGGTTACTCATTCTAGCCTTATCTGTAATCAAAGAACATTAAAAACAGCTCCGTGTAGAGTAGGGAACTGATAAAATGAATTACAGGGCATCCATTCAGTGGAATGCTATATGGCTAGAGAAGAGAATGAGTGTTTCGTGTTCTTGTCTAGTTTCAACTCCAAAGTAGTAATGTGAAATGAAGAAAGCAAGATGCAGGACCATGTCCAAGACCAGGAATGGGCAAGAATATATAATCACATTCTTATATGTGATTCTTATATGCATATTTTTATAAAATTATATTTAAGTATATGCATAAAATATTTCTGGAAGGATACACCCCAAAAGTGGTGCCGTAAGTTGGCCAAGTGACAGGGCAAGGCAGAGTTCTCACTGTATACTCTTTTCAGCTATTTTTAAGTCATGTAACTATATTAGCTATTCAGAAAATATACAACATTTTGAAAATGTGAAGAACTAGCTGATTGAGGGCAGTCTAACAGGTAATCTGATCATGGGTGGAAGAAACTAAATGGAAGTAAATCCTAAAACACTATTTTAGCTTCTTACAGTTGAGAAATGATCCTTTCTGCACTGAAAATGCTGGCTAACAAGGGAATGTGGTCATGAGCATGAACTTTGACTCCAGCCTTCTACTGTTCAGTTCACAGTGACTAGCCACATGTGGCTATTTATATTAACTGAAATCAAATAAAATTTTAAAATCAGTTGCTTAGCTACACTAGCCACATTGCAAGTGCTCAGTAGTCACATATGGCTAGTGGCCATCACGTTAGTACAGATTACAGGGCATAAAGTTTGGTTGGACATGCTGCCCTAGACAGGCTTGGGTTGGAATCTAAGCATAGATGCCACTTACTAGCCATGCACCTTGGACAAACCTCTTAAACTCTCCAAACTTAGATTTCTTTACCTGTCTACTAAATTTATTGGAGCTTGTCATTTTAATTTGTGAAGATTTAATTTGAAATTAGATTTACTTTGTAAAAATCTAAGGAGAGGCCTTTAATAAAATGAGAATTGGTGTCACTTTTGCGATAGGTGCTCTGAAAAACTGGTGACTAAGATTTCCATGGTGTCTCTAGCTCACTGTCAGCTGTTGTCTTTCAGGGATTTCTTCAGTGCCAACCCCTTCACCCCTTGGACCTCTGGCAGGCTCACCAGTGATTGCTGCTGCCAACCCCCTCGGGATGCCTGTTCCAGCTGCCGCTGGCGCTCAGCAGTAATGGCCCCTTCTGTCTCCTGATGCCTGAGCAGAGGTTGGGGAGTCCACTCACTCCCTTGATGCAGCTTGCGCCTGGCGGGGAGGGGTGAAATACTTCAGAAGCACCGTGTCTGAACCGTTGCTTGTGGATTTATAGTAGTTCAGTCATAAAAAAAAAAAAAAAAAAAATTATAATAGGCTGATTTTCTTTTTTTTTCTTTCTTTTTTTTTTTTAACTCGAACTTTTCATAACTCAGGGGATTCCCTGAAAAATTATCTGCAGGTGGAATATTTCACGGACAAATTTTTTTCTCCCCTTCCAAATTCGGTTCCTCATCACTAAAGAACAAAGATAAACCAGCCTCAATTCTGGCTGCTGCGTTTGGGTGGAGATTTCTTCCCATGCCCACCATTGCTCCCCTACCATCCCACACTTTGAGGGGTTTGTATTTCATGCTCTCCTCCAGAGATTACAAAAATGTAGCTTCTTGAAGGGAGGTGGGAAGGAAGGAGGAAGGAAGGACCCAACCTATAAGAGCAGTGTACTGCTAGTCACTTATATCACTTTACTCCAAAAGTGCTTCAGTGGGGTTATACTGGTGAATCTAGTGGAAATATGTCTTAGTTACACTGAGATGCTGAAAATCTACCCAAAGTGCAGACAGGTCCTGAAAACGTCTGTTCAGTATGAATCATGTCTTATTGACCTAACCTAAATCCAACTCACTTATAATTTAGTTTCAGTTCAGTTTAAAACTTTAATACAGTCCCTCCCAGGCTCCTTACCTTGGTCCTCTTCCCCTTTCATCTCCCAACATGCTCTATAGCTGGTAGGAGGGGGAAGGCAAAGTCTTTTTCAGTTTTCTTTGACTTGGCCCTTTTGAATTCAGTTAGTTACTGGGTATAATTATTGCTTTTTACAAAAGAAAAGAACATTGTCTATGTTGGTTTCATGCTAGTAACTCTTGAAGAGCTAGTGAGAGATGTGGCCACTGCATTTTATTTTAAGCTTTCTACCTTTTCCTCCTACCTTCCCCTTCCCTCACATGCCATCCATTGAGAAGACCTGCCCCTCAGTCTTGTAAATGTACCTGAGAGGTAGGAGCAGAGCCACTATCTCCAGTGAAACTGAAATGGTAGACCTGTAATTGTGGGAAAACTAAACTCTCTTGTTACAGCCCTGCCACCCCTTGCTGTGTGTATATATATAATACTTTGTCCTTCATATGTGAAAGATCCAGTGTTGGAATTCTTTGGTGTAAATAAACGTTTGGTTTTATTTATCAAGGTTAGATTTAAGTTCCCTGTGTAAAGGTCTCGCTGGGTGGGTGGCTCACGTTCACATCTGAGGGGCCTGCAGCCCTGTACCGTGGAGGCTTCCCAAGGCCCCCATTTTTATACAACCCTCGTTCAACCCATGGTACCGGGCAGGCAGAGAGGCCTTAAAAAAGCTCCACAAGCCAAAGCGTCTCTGGGGATTAAGGATCCTTTGCCATAAATTCATTTTGTGTCTCAGCAGTGCAGGGATTGGGGATGGGAAAAGTCGCCAGTTTTTGTGTGTTTGTGTGTGTAAAGTGGATTTTCCACTGTAATCCAGCCACCTAAGTTTATCAGGTGCTTCACTGAGGAAGCCTAGTTTTTTAAGCACAATAGCAAAACCATCAGCTCTGTATTTTCTCCTGTTGCTTCATTACCGTAGCTGCTTGTGGGGACTAGGAAAAATTCTTCCAACATATTTTAAGGCCTGAAGTCTTAGTTCCCCATTCTCCTACCTTTATAGATTCACACGTCTTTCTCACCTGGGCATCATAGATAAACATAATTGTTTGAGGAGTTGAATTTAATGAACTTATCTAACTTTGTAACCCATCTTAGCTCTAGTAACTTTATCAAAGGTGGTGGCTTTAGTGAATATAATGGTAAACTTTAGAGGAAGCTAAAGCCTCCTTTTATAGTGCTTCTCAACCATAGGGAAAACATTCTATGTGGCAGGGTGATCTTCTTCTTCGTGGCCACTTACAGTGGATATTTATTGTTCTCGACCCTTTTATGCCCTAGAATGCTGTGGGGGTTACCATGTTGAATTTGTGCAGAACCTCAAAGCACCAGATGTGCCAGAGATGCAGTTTGAGATTATGTTTGCACTGGATTGTGATTTGAACAGGACACTTATGACTGATGAATTATTTCTTTTGAGGTGGGGAGGAGGGCTGTAAATCAAGACTTCACATCCCACCCTTGTAGCTCAGAGAACCTAGGTGTAGCTGAGGCTGATGTGGGGAGCTGCAAACAGCTGGACCTCCTAACATGCATCAGACCTTGCAAGAAACGTAAGGTGAATGCAGAGGACTCTGAAATGCCACCCAAGAGCCTTTTAAAAGAAATAGAAGTATTTAAAATGCTACTTAAGGAGTCACTGCAGAAGCATGAAAAAAAAAAAAAGACCCAATTGGGGGGGGGGGTGGGGGGCAAGGGTTTACAGAGTAACAACTTCTGTGTTGTTGTAAATTACCTCATCTGTATACCTTGTATTGGGACACTTCATTTCTCAGCACTACCTGTGTCTGCATTGATTAGATGGCAGGAAATGGAAAGCCAATCTAAGACACTTGTGTTGGCAATTACTCTGAAAGGTTCTTTAAGTATTTTTTTAACTTTGTTTGAAGTGCTCCCTCCCCCCTTTTAAGTTTGAAGTCATAAGTTCCCCCTCCCCACCTTGATGATTTATTGGTTGTAATTGTATTGTATTTGGTATAACTAAAACATAACTGTGCTGGGAAGAAGTTGTGCCATGAAGGTCTTTAATTTTTTTTTAATAAAAACATTTAAACAAATGAAATGTCCCTGCAGCCTGAGCAATATGCTTCTCCAACCGACACCGTGTGTGTGACAGATGGCTTAGTTCTCAAGTGCTTTGAATTTAATACTGGGCTGATGGAGATGTGAAATGGGATGAATTAAGGTTGGTTGAGGAGCACTGAAGTGTAGGAGTTTTTGACATTGAGATACAGTGAAGAGAGCATGATGTTGTTGCTAAACAGGACTGGTTTCATTCCTGCCCTCGTCACATACTTGGCTACTTGGCAAGTTACTTCTGAATCTGTTTCATCATCTATAAAATGGAGCCACTGCTTCTTTGGGATTAAATGAGAGTAAATGTCAGGTGTCTGGCACCTGTTATGCCCTTGTTCAACCTAATACCCCTGGCCCCTGGTATGGGGGATTAGTCCTTGGCCCTGACTTTGCAAGTAATTCACAGTATGATCTCTCCTCTGGCTCTCTTGGGACCAGTGTGTGTTCAGTCAGGGGAGTCTGGATGAGATGTCTTCTGAGTTCCCTTTCAGCTCTGACACTGATTTTAGAAAGTTTGAGTTAGTGCGTAAATACAGAGGTCCATGGAGACAGTTGGTTTGTTAGCAGAAAAGACCAGTGCTCAGTGAATGGCAGTAAGCCCTGTGGAAGGTCAGCCTTGGAGAGACCTCCAGTGCAGGAGGCGACGTGCAGTCTTGGTGCCTGGAATGAAGGTATTGCCGGTGAGCAAATGGGAACATACTTGGCAGCTTTAATAGAAACTACCAAAAGGGCTGGTAAAAGAGGTGAAACAAGTTTACTTGCTTATTAATGTCAAATGAGTAAATTCAACAACAGTATATACTTGAATTTTCATTTATTCTTTCTCATTTAACAACAGTTGAAAAGTTGAAATCAGGAAATGCCGTTATCCCAAATTCTTAGTTTCCTTTAAATGTTCAGTGCATCCGTATGTTAATAATATTGGGAGTTGAGAAGTGTGGTTTAGATAAAAGGAACCATTGTGTAATATCTTATATCTGAAATGCCTAACTTACATGAACATTAATTTCTCACATTTACTTTATCCATGAGACAGATAGGAAGAGTAAGTTGTTAGAGTGGGCCTATTAGAGACAGAGGAATATATTTGGTAAAATTAGATCTTCAGGGTATGGCTAATTACTGTAGTCCTAAAGTAGTAGAGAAAATTGTGGATTGGTTGACAGATTTTGAAATTTTTATTTCCTCTCAATCTTTAAATTTCATCTTGTTTCACCTGTTGTTAAGTGTGGTTACAATTAGAACTGACCTTTTGAGTATCTCTTGAAAAAATCTAGTTTTGTCACCACTCCCACTAGCAGATTTCTCTCCTGAGATTAGAATTGGGTTTGAGTAGTTGTTTAATCGTAACAGTCCTTGCCTGTACTTCCCTGCTGGTAATTTCCTCCTCCCTTGTGCTGATTGATGCTCCATCCTATGTAAAAGTCACCTCTCTCTGCTTCCCCCACTGCCGTCACTACCCCTGCACCCTTTTTCCTTATAACACCTGACCTTATGTTATTTTTGTCTCTCTCCCCACCTGCATGTAAAGTCCCTGATGACCTTGTATGTCTTACTAATCTGTGCATCCTCATAAAGAACTTTTTTTTTAAGTGTGTTAATATCCTTCAGAATTGAAGAGGATCAGATGGAGTAGCACGAGGAAAATGCTTAGCACCATACCAGGCTCATAATAGATGCTCAATAAATAGTAATTCCATCCTCCACTCCCAGTTCCACCTTCCCCCTCCTCCACACACAATAAATTAGTGGGAGTGTTGTTGAATAAAGAACATCTCAAGATGAGAAGAGCCTTGTTCATAGATGTGCAGCTATAATTATAAGCCACAGGCCAGGCTGGATTAACATGACAAAATGTTTATTTAATGTTTACTTATTTATTTTAATTATTTAATAATTTAACGAGCCCTTGGTGCAACCTTGAGTGGCTGAGGGCTGAGCAACGATCCTGACCAATTTAGTAGAATTAGGTGCTACAATATCCCCTGCTTTCCACCATTGGTATATAACAGTGTGAAATTCAGGCTGTTCTCCAAGTAGAACAGATACATAGAGGGTGTCACAAGGTAGTCTGGTTCTGGAGTCAATGTGGACAAGTGCTTTCTAGATTTCATAACTCTACTGTGATTCTGTGCTAAATTTAACCACTTCAGAGAAGCAACCTAGTAGAACTATAAATGCCCTGGTTCTGATAAGAGTTATGGCTGGCTGTGTAGTTTTGGCTCAGTAATTTAACCTCTCTGAATCTTCAAAACTGACTTAAATTATTATTGTAAAACATTTTAGATGTACCAAGTTGTAAAGAGGCTGTAACACACCCATGAACCCACTGCCCAAGTTAAGTCTATATTACCAATACAGATGAAGCCCCTTTTGCCCCTCTTCTCTTCCTCCCTGCCCCAGAGGTTCTAATATCTTCTTCATATGTAAAATTGGGGTGTTAATACCTATTTTACAAGGTGGTTATAAGATTAGATGATAAATGTTTGGAAAGTGCCTGGCACACAGTAGAGTTGGGCTAAATATTCACTTCCACTCTGAATTGTATAGTTGTGCAGGTTACGTGCAGAAAAAGATTCCATGTCTATAGGAATGCCATAGACTTGTGCATTTATTTCTACAGTTTTACAGTAGATGGCAGTAAAATACCTGGTTCTAGAAGAAAAAAAATCCATGCATTAAATATGACAGGTTTTCAACAGATGCAAGTTGTTTCTAATTTCCATGAAGGCCAGCATTGCCCTGTTCTCGCCCCCTCTCACTCTTCTTTAAGATTCTATCACTCTTATCTCCTCTGAATTTTTAATTTCTCTACTGAAAGCCAAATATTTTTGCACTATAGCAAATTACAGTCTGGATTTGCCTCCCTGCGGTCATAATCACCAGAGATTCTTAGTGGTCTCAACGTAAGAAGCTCTTCCCCAGGCACCTCCAGATGGGAGTTTATAGGATGGACAGTCCCTTTCTTAGAGAAGTTCCCGAGGGGATTGGTATTTCTGAGTCAGCTTTACTCTTGCATCATCAGCTTGGACAGAATTTTCTTGGCTCCTCTAATGATGAAAAGGAAAAGCAGCAGCAGCTGGCAGCTGGCTTCCTGATTTCACCCTGTGAGTCGGAGTCTCGGCTACAGCTAAACATTTGTAGACTTATCTAGAGAGGGAGGACTTTGCTTCTCTGTGTTGAACAGTTCTGGGAACTCCACGGTGAACTTCCTATGAAGAAACCTAAATACCCACAGCTCTCCACACCTCATTCTGTTCCCTGCTCACCCACTCAGCTCTGTCCCCTCGGCCCAGGATCGGAGTTTCTTATGGACTCATCTTCTTGACTGGTCTTTCCAGAATTCGTTTATAAAATATGCCGCTCAACAGACGTGTTGATGTCTGCGAGCCTGGTCCTACGCTAAACACTGGAGATTGGGAGAGATGAGACGC